CCGTCCAATTAAGGTTGATGTGGCACTAGTTAAAGAATAAAAACTAATTTAAAAGTTCTAATTTCAACTAGAACTTTTTAATTATTAACAAAAACCATGCTAAAACCTAAAATTACTCCTAATATTAAATTAAAAAATTAAATATTTACGAAGTATTTTATAGAACTCCAAAATGCCCATTCAGAAAATCTAATGCTCACTTAAAAAACTGAGAGGAATCTATGGAGAAGCACCGCCGGCATGCCCAAATCGCTGCCGTACAACACCATCGAGCAGCACCCATATGCGAGCTCCCTCCACCGCCCCCGAACGCTTCGCAGCCGTCGTCGAGCAGCCCCAAATGCTGCCCCGTTGATGCCGTCAGCAGCCACCGCACGAGTTCCTGACGAGATCCAACATACGCCCAGAGCCACAAGAAGCACCGTGAAGCTGCCCCAAATTCCACCTGCCATGCTTCTTCCTCCATGCCAGTGACACTCAGCGCTACCATTTTGTACAGGATGGAATGGTTGCTGGTTTGCTCCATTTTTATAGGGAAGAATAAAGGAGCAAGAAGGAATCACAATCACCGTGGGACTTATGTGTACTAGCTCAAATATAATGCGGAAAAAATTGATGGGTAAAGTAGAAATTTAGAGATCTTTTCACGTTCAGATTATGGTCAAAAGCTTTTGAGAAACAACAATGGAAGAGAAAGAGAGTTAATTTTATTTTTCTATTATCTAATAATTTGGGTTTATTAATCAATTCATTTAATAAGTAAGATAATAACTTAAATTAACTTTTTACTCTTTTATTAGTGTCACGTCAGCCTTGATTGAATGGAATGTAACAGAAGAATTGATAAAAATTCGGGGGGCAAAAATAAATTTTACACCTTATCTTGTTCGCCTATATATAAAGGGCGAAATTTGTTTCCTGCCTCCCTTAACTCCTGTATGTACTTCAACCAGAGAGATTGGCACTACTAATTTTAAGCTGTCCTTGATGATTAGATATGCCAAATATTTCTTTATTTTCGTATTCTCGTAAACTTCCTTTCAAAACTTATTTGTGGTGATATATTTAGGGCCCGTTTAGTTCACTGATTCGAGTTGAGACGTGACTTTATGTGAGACTTTTTTACTGTAGTAAAAAAGTTAGATATTATTGTTTTTAAAAGATATTTACTATAGTAAAACTTGAATTCTAAACTTGAATCGGTAAAATAAATGGGACTTAGAGAACTTTTATTATGATTGGAACTATCTACTGATAGAAATAACTGTTATTTTAGTTGTTAGATTAGTTTGTCAGCTATTTATTATGCGTGTTTTCATATTAAAAATTTACAACATACGATACAAAACTGCACCTACTCACAGATAAGACAACAGTCAAAACAATAATTCTTACTAGTAATGTAAATAGTTGTTCTAATTGGAAGTTCTCATGAATTAATTTGTTGGGGTTGTTTAATTCCACGGTTTCATCCTATTTTCTTACGGAGAACTTATCCATATAACCAATTACATAAGCGTACTTTTAAGTAGTTTTAGCTAATTGTATTATTAAAATGACTGAGATTTTTGTTTAATTTTAGTGTCTTAATTGATGTTTATTAAATCATATCATGTCATATTTTGTAAAAAATTTAAACTATTTCTTAATTAATTTTTTTGTATTTATTATAAAATAATATAATATAATATGATTGGTTAAATACTAATTGAGATCGGAATCCTACCTAAAAGCCATGTATGTTGTTCATTTTCTTCTGCTTGGGCTTTCACTTTATTAATTCTCTACGTTTGACTTGATCTTTGTGGCTGAATATTCTCTAGGTTTGATTATTCAGAGGTACACGATGCAGAAGTTTCCGAGTTCAAATCCTAATCTGTCACGTTTCAGCAGCCTATTGGTCACTTTTTCCTCTTACTGTGTTATTAATTATTATTTTTCCCCACAGCTGCCCATGTGAAAACTACCATATATAGCGTCGAAAGTCTTCGTCGTTTTGGGGACTGGGGAAGTCTTCGTCGTCGTGTTTGTCTATTTTACATTTTTACTAACTGTGCTCTTCCCAATTTCCATTAGTTTTGTTATATAGCTATCGGTGTGTGTATATATAAATAAATTGATAGTTGCAGTTTTATGTATAAATAATTGTTATTTGATTCTGCAAGTGCACAGATCATATAAATAATAAAGTATATTAGAGTACGGATATCGTTCCTATGAAGATTGAATAACCAATAATATGTTGTAGAAGTTATGCAATCAACAAATCGAGTAAAGAATGAGTTGATCAGAAATTCACTAAAATGATGTAAAGAAATGGGTACAAAATAAACGCGGTCAAAAGTGACTAAAAATAGCAAGAATGTAATTATGGTTTGTAAATCAACGAATTAAATAAGCTAGGTCTACTAATTTTCCCTCAATTGCAAGTCCGCTTGAAAATGTTACCAAAATGCTACAACATTTATGAACCATGTTAACAGAAACTCCTTTACTGCATAAAATTCTTCCGAATTAATTATGACTAAATATTCTTTAAATCATTTCCAGCATATTCCTATGTGAATCAAGTTCTCAGAATGCATATCTAAGCTCAGGTTTCTTTAATATATGCAAGGTGAATAATATATTACTAGACCATCCACTAATCAACAACTAAGACAAGGTTATTGAACATGCATCATCCATGTTGGATCCGATTAAATCTAACATTTCCTGTATTAATCTTAATCTTGCATCTTATAATTGATGGCCAGTCAAGAATAGAAATAGGCATTAACACACATGAATGAATAGAAAAAGTAACTCAATAGCATTTTAGAAACAAATTGTCATTCTTACAACCTTGGTTCTATTAGTAGGCCTAGCTAAAACAAATTAGTTCATACTGACATTTACAAGATCTAAAATTCTAGAATATTTCATGGCTAAATTAATATCCAAATAACAAAAGAGAATTAAGCTAACAGAAAGAAGAAAGAATTTCAGCTGGATCTTGGATCTCTCGTTGTCCGGCCTTGCTTCATTCAACCTTCTGCCTTCTTCCCTTCTCTCACGTCTCTGATACTTTCTAAATTCTGGAGGAGGTACTTTCTGTTTTGTTCTTCTCTCTATATTTCCTTACGTACTTGGCGGCTGCTTGCCTCACTTGGAGAATAATCCATTCTAGGGCAACAAAAGGAGGGTTGAGGTGTCACTTGATGATGGGTGCAGTGGTCCACACTGACACCTGCCCAACCAGCTCACATGAATTTTTGTCTGCTTTCTCCAAGTAATGTGCTGATGTCATTCATGTGCTAGTTGTTCTTAGATTGCTAAAGCATAATGCTGTGACATTCAGCCCACCAATTTCCTGCAAAGCACACACACAAGTCTTAAACATTTTTCTTGCTCTTTTTGATTCAAAATCCTCAATTTACTTCATGAAGAGCACAAATACAGAATTCAACCCTAGTAAGTGTAAAATTTGAAAAATGTAAGTTAAAACACAAAAGAAACCAATAAAATCACTCTTGGTCAAGCAACTTTTGAGCTAGAAAACCATTAGATAACTCTAATTTCTTAGAGTTATCAATAATATTTGTTTATTTCAAAGCAATGTTTTCTTCAGCTGAATGAGAATACAGCCATATTTAAAAAAGAAAAATTACAAAAAAAAAAAAAAACATATATGATATTATGCATCTAGATTGCAGAAAAGAAAATTAAAAAAATTAAGAGATTTTACCTCTTTAAGTAATTGACTTATTAAAAATACCACTTTTAAAAAACACTACCCCTTGACTAGGTATTCTAGTTTAAAAGTTAAAAATATATGGACTAATGTTAAGGGGTACAAATAAAAATGAGTTCTATTTTAAATGTATTTTTAAAAACTGCCCTTGTAGAATTGTATAGCGCAATTAAATAACTTTCTAATTAATTACCAAAGTTAATCAACCCGACTTTAGAATTAATTAGGATAACTTTCTTGTAAGTTATGTACATGTGTCCTAGTACTAGCTTGTGGAATAATCAGAAGCGGTAGAAATATAAAAATATTACGAAGCTTTCCTTTGTTTGAACTCCTGTGTTTCCTTTCCTCGGGAGAAGTTTGGCAAATTGTGTAAGAGCTTCTGCGTTGGTACCCTCTCCTTCAATTGTCTCAAACTCACTGGTTTCCAAATTCAGCCTTGAGACTGGCTTCTCCAACATCTTTTTCCCAATCACAAGCCTCTTCATATTCTCCTCAGTTGCCATGTCAACGACGACTCGCTTACGGTCAATGTGTCATTCTTTGTCACATGCAGCCAAAATATGATTCTGAGAAAACTTAGGGGGTGTTTTTTTCTACAACTCAAACTTTTTTTTTTTGTGTGAGAGAAAACACTATAGTAAAAAAATTAAATTTAAATTTTTACGAGAAAAAATATTATAACGAAAGAACTTGAGTTGTAATTTGAGCTGTAAAAAAACAAGGTATTAAGCATCATATATGATAACATGCATGCCCAAAATTATGTTTTTAATTAGAGTTAATCTCATTAGTTCCCAAACCATAGTCTACATCTTATTTAGTTGGTCCATATAATGGATTTTAAAACATATCATAGAACCAGTCCCCAATATGGAATTATCCCAAAGTAGTCCAAAATGTCAAAATCTTAAAGTTAAGAAGGCACGTTATAAGGACCATGTGCGACTTAGTGGGAGTTAACATTTTTACTTTTACGTGTTAGAGCACGAATATTAAAAAGTACTAGTTGTGCATTTTTGTGTTGAGATTTTAATAATCAGATGGACAAAAACTGTAAAATTTAGACAATTTAGCAGATGTGGATTTGTTCTGAGACATTTTAAGAGTCGAGCGCAAAATTTAAATCTTGAACTATAATTTAGGACTAAAAATGAGCTTAATTTTTTTAATTACCTGGATACGAAATTTTATTAAAGAAAGGCAAGTTTACAAAAAACCATTTCGCTATAGCTTTATCTTATAGGACAAGTAATAAAATCACCACGATAAAGCTAGCTTAAAAGAATTAACTTCCTTTTTTTTTTTTTCCAAGTATACAAATAAGCACGAATAAAATAAAAAAGAATGGAGAGATTTTCATTTTTCATTTAGTGGATCGGAGCTTCCTTTCCTCGGAAAGAAGTTCAGCGAATTTGGTAAGAGCTTCGGCATTGGTCCCTTCTCCGACAATAGCCTCGCATCTGCCGGTTTCCAGATTCACCCTCGAAACTGGCTTTTCTAACAGCTTTTTCCCAATCTCTACTAGTCTTTGCAGATTCTCCTTTGTCGCTATATCCACCGATGACTCATTGCCAACCAAATTGTCATCCTATAAGTTAATTATGTCCAACAACAGGTAAGTAATACTATTAATTTATACAATATATAACCATATAATATAGTACAGTGTATTATATAAATGTTTCCTAGAGAAAAAATGAAAATTGATGGGATATATATATATATATATATATTGCAAAAAAAAAAAAAAAAAGTATACCTGAATACGGAGGTAGTTTTTCTGGTGATTACGGGCCTGGAAGATATTGGACACAAGAAGATCAACGACATCAGCACTCGCGTCGCTGAAGATGTCGACGATTGGAGTGCTGCCATTGTTGAACACCCAATTAAGCAAACCCCATTCGGAGGCCTTGGCTGCATTGTACTTCTCTTCAAGCTTTGGTGCACCTGTTCCTAGTGATAGCACTAATATCCTTTTCCCCTCTTGTTCTATGACTCCTGACTCTGAATTTTCTTTCGCGATTTCTCTGATTAAAGGGTTTATCGCCAGCATTGTCTTCAATTTTCATATAATAATATTAGTTAGTTCCTGTATGTGTATCATTTGATTAAGCAACAATATGATTTGACAATACTCCATATATACTCATTAAGTAACATACGGGATTGTTTGCAGCGACGGCACCATCAATGAGATCAAAATCGCGAGTCTTCCCATTGCCATCGCGAGTCGTAAATTTGTGTGGGGGGAGATAAGTGGGAGCCGCAGAGGTACTAATACAGATATCTGCTAGTCGAGCATTTCTCAAAGCATTTTCTTTTGCCTGCACATAAATTGTACTACTGGTTAACAAGGTCAGTTTAAATTAGTTCCAACCATAATCTTACTAAGGAATGTTTTGAATTTTACTACAATATTACCGGTTAAGCAAATGTCACGTAAAAAATGTAATAAAATACATGTCACATGTGATAAAATATAGGTCCAAATTTAATTATCCTACTATTTCATTATCAGTTAAAAATCAATGGCGACAATCATAACCGGTGACGCATATATAGCATATATAGTTCCTTTGCTGATACAAATCGTATACGTACATCATGGGTGTAGAAAATCACAGGTTGGAGGAGCTTGATATCAAAAGCAGGGATGACAACATTTGTTAGGGTCTGTTTGAGAGTGAGGTCTCCTAGCAGGCTGTTTAGCAGCGAATGCAGATACTTTCCGTCGTACTTAGGCCCCGAGAACGCGTCAAGCCAACTTGTTATGGCTGTCATAAAGTCTCTGTAACATTATTTCAAATTTAAGATTGCTTAGTATGTTATAAATAAATACAAGAACTTCCTATAGTTTAGACTGTATATTTTTCTATAACAAATAAATGTGTGTGTGTGTTTCTGTGTGTTTACCTATTTTGAGGGAAAATCTTAGGCGTGTGTTGCAAGTAAAAGTCGTTGATGTCTTTTGCAGCGAACAAGGGTCGGCCGTTATCCTTAGGGTTGGGAGCTGTAAGCATGGCGGTGACCAACCCTCCGGTGCTCGTTCCAGCAATTATGTCAAAATAGTCTGCTATTCTCACATTTGGTCCATCGAGTTCCTGAAAATGCATATACGTACATGGATGTAAAGCTTGCTAGTATTCTTGAGATCATTACGAACAAAATACGAGATTAAAACAGACCAAAGATCTAAATTCTACAATGAAGTAGCACAAATTAATTGATTACCTGAAGTTTGGATTCAAGAAAGGCAAGAAGAGTGCCTGGAATTATGCCCCTAATCCCGCCGCCGTCAATGCTCAACACTGTGAACGTCTTTGTCTTTCCAGAACAATTGTTGGCTTTTGTACTCGCCATGCCAATTGATGATATTAATTAAATGAAAATTAATGTTTGGAGAATAAAAGAAACTCAATATGAAGATGATGCCTTCTCGATCTTTAGCAAGAAAAGAACTCAATGTGGGAAATATACAAATAGATATCGACTTATATAATGTTGTGGTGGAGCAAAATTTTTGTTAAGGAAGAAAGAAACATTGAAGAAGTCAGAAAAATAATGGTCTTCTAAGGCATGGTCCGCTTCGTTGTAAGTTTCATAGTAATTTAAATTTTTTTTATAATTTTAATGTTGAATGTATGAAGAAGCCGTGATTGACTTCGGTCTATATACACTCTTCATTCTTCGTCTTTCGTCATATACTCAACAACTTTAGGTCTCCCCTACCAGCGGGCAATTCTGACGTCCGTACAACTTTTTTAGTACTAGAAGTACGTATGAACAGTACTTACTCTTACGGAATCTCCATATTTATGGTTTCATGCAGGCTTAAGTAGTCTTAACGTGCTCAAAGAACTCAGAGAGACGTTTGGTAAGCAGATTCATACCATAATTTGAATCGTGGTTTATGATTTATTATAATATTTTTTCTCATAAAAAATATACGTAAATCGAAAATGGTTCTAATCACATGATTTTAATCCATGAACCAATCGTCTCCTTAGGCCATCTAACCCATTTTCTTATTTTAGAGTTGTTTTATCTCTGAAATAGAGTAATTTTACTACGTCACTTAAAAAGTTTATCTCCAATCTATTTACACTAAACATTACTCTACAAGGAATATTCTCAGTATATTCTTTTTTATATAATTCCCAACAATTTAAATTTATTCTAATTTCACCAATTATGCACATATATTACTATTAATGCAATGAAATGAATTATTATTTGACCAACTCCAAGAAATATAAATTACTATTAATGCAATAAAATGAATTATTATTTGACCAACTCCAAGAAATAACGTTTGGTTTTTAACATTATGTTTTTCTTATTTATGCATTATGTATCAATGTTTGGTTTTTAATTTATGAATATATGTAATTTTTTTTTAGAATATGAATATATGTAATTTAGTTTTTGCATTGAACATATTAATTTTGCTTCATTTTATAACAAAATGCTTTAACAAAAATCATAAAAATAGAAAACTGGGATAAAAAATAATTGTTTTTGTTATAAATTTAGGGAATAAATTAAGAATTTTAAAAAACATTTGGCCTTTAAACTAATAAAAACGAAAAAAAAAGAAGTGCTATTATAGCGCGTGACCAGTGCCGCGCCCCATGGGGGCGGTGCTGTAGCTGTGCGCCAGCCCTGACAAGCTGGCTCACAGATGTAGCGCAGGGTTGGAGATGGCCATGCCAGATGAGGCCAACCCAGCGCACAAGTAGCACTGGGTTGGAGATGACCTTATGTATTAGGGGCCACTCTAACCAACTTTCGGTTCTCAAGTGGTAAAGAATTCTCTTCTTATACTAAAAACTAGTCCTGGTAAAAATATGCTTTCATTAATCAAGTTATTTTTAAGGGCAAATCATTAGAAGGAACAACTCTTCTCCTGAAATAAAATAAAGTGAACATTAACCTCTTTTAAAAATTACGTCAATGTTGAGATAATTGTGAAGATATTAATAGCTCCAGGTTTCAATTCGGCAAATTAACTCGACTCGTTAAAATTTCCCAAATTAATGAGAAATCTTAACAATTTTTAAATGTAAGCATCTGTGACCTTTTCTAGTTAAACTTTCAGTCTCGTTGTTTATTCATGAGAAATATAACAATTTTGAAATAAATCTATTCCCTTTTATTTATTTTATTTTATTTATCTAATATAAGCTTTCGCTACTAACCAAGCCTTTTGAGTGTTTTCCCCACTCGTGAATCACTTACTAGTTTAGTTTGGATTACTTCCCTTAGAATATAAAACCCAGAGAAACAGTACCCACAAGCCCAATACCCTTTTCTATATATCAACTATTTAACATTTCCTGATCCCACCAATATTTCAATTAATCTCTTATTTTTGTGTGAGAAAATTGTTGAACTTACTTATAGAGTTTAAGGGTTTAAATTTTTATCCCTATTCTTAATTAATACCATTTTAATTGATAAAATTATTTAACTAAATTATTTAATTAATAGATTAAAAATTCAAATTTATACAGGTTTTTGTCTCTTTTTTCCTTTGTTTCTTTTTTCGGATATTTATCTTGTTTTGCTTGTTGTATAAGAGCCCATGATGGTTTATTATATCTTGTTTTGCTTGTTGTATAAGAGCCCATGATGGTTTATTGGCAACAAAAAATGGTACAATAATACAATGTTGTTCGAGCTTGATTGAGCACATTCGATCGTCACACATCGTTGGAGATAATGCCGAAACCTTCTAGAATTCGATCGTCACCATCGATTCTACGGGACCCAACAACTTCAAACAAAACAAAACAAAACTTACGTTAAATATTAACTTTATAGAATTTTATGGTAGAGTATGAATAAGATGATAAGTTCACAGAACTTGATGAAATTGAATATGACTGTTGGAACTACCCCTATCCGTAGTTTTTTTTTTTTTTTTTCTTTCTTTTTTTAGTATTTTACCACATATAATAACTCTCGATTAAAAAGGGAAAAAAAAATGGTGTTCTTGTCAAAGATCCAACGTCTTCATAACCTTTTGTGATCAGTAATTAAATACCAACGTCTTCATATATAATTCTTCATCTCTTTCTACATTGATTTTTACAGAAATACCAACATTTGAAGGCCATGTCGTCCTGAAATATTGCTAAAGTTCTTGTATAAGTCAAAGCTGCAGAAGCTTCCGATCGATAGTCCAGCAGCCATAATGGTCTTTTTTTTTTTGTCTTCATTAACTGATTTTTCTAGTAGCTGCCCACGTGAAAAGTACTCCAATTTATAGCACCCGCAGAGGACTTTGTTATGTCGCGACTTCATCCTTTTTTTTTCAGAAAAAGAAAACGTTAAACTACAATAAATTAAATATTTAGTAGCATTGAATATTTATATATATATATATATGTGTATATATCTTATTCCTAAATTGTTAGATTTTCATAAATTTCTGTATATTTTATGAAAATGTGATATTGACATAATATAATATTTAAAGACTTGCATTATCAATATAGATCCATCATGAAAAAAGTTTTTTTTTTTTTTTTTTTGCCATCTGGGGCTAGTCCAGGTTCAAAACCTGGGGTGCCAAGCGGACTTATTAAAAATAAATAAATAAATTAAGATTTAGGGTAAATTAATTAAGATTTGGGGTACTCTTAACCGCGTATGTTCTCTGAATTTTTAGTGAATAAATAATTGACAAATCGTTTCATGAACTTTTTATAAATATTGTTGCGTGATACCATTAAATGGATGAAAGATGTTGAAATTTGAAATTACGCACCCATATATATAGGGAGAATTGTAAAAATATCCTTTAAAAAATATCATCTTTATATTTACATCACCCAATATATTTATAGCACTTAATTCATCAAAATATATCATAGTAAGATATTAGACAAAGGGCCTGTTTGGGAGAACTTTCTGAAAGTTACTTTTGATTTCTTAGGTCCAAAACTTGCTTTTGGAAGTATTTGTATGATCTGTTAAAAGTATTTTAACTTTTCAGAATAACTTATAGTCAAAGTTAAAAATTGTAGCTTCTAAAAAATGTACTTCTGAATAGAGTTTGATACTTGTACTAGAGTTTAATTAAGGCATTATAAACTTAATTCCAATACTTTTATTACTTATTAAAAAATTTAAAAATTATTTTGATCCATTAAGCTCTTTGTTTCAAACACTTACTAAAAAATCATAGCTTTTACTTTTTTTATTCTACTGACTAAAAGCAAAAGTAAAAACTCTGCCAATAGGCTTAACTTATTTCTTCTCCATAAAAATGACATAACTGGTTTCAGAAAATAGTCTGATACAATATCAAAATCAACAAAGATAATGAAAAATTAGATCATATAAATGTAATGCTATTAGATTTTTGTGGCATACAACGCAATTTTTCTTATATGCATAAGACATGATGTACTGATTCAAGTCTATTTCTTCAAATGATAACATACACGAGATGACGAGAGTGTTTCCATCTAAATTTTAATAATGATCATCAATTCAGGAACACTTTGCAACACGTATTGAATTCAAAATTACTTTATCGAAATTAAACCAAGGGAACAGTTTTCCAAACCGTGAAAAGTTGAGGACTTTTAGGTAAATACCCTGATTCAACGAAACAATCTTCTAATTATGTTTAGCACAAAACACTGCTTCATTTGCCAGAAAATGGATCTCTTCTTTTCCTTAACCATCTTCTTCTTCTTCTTCTTCTTCTTCTTCGTTTTTGTAGTCTTTGCTGATCTTCTCACCTCGGGTACTTGGAAATCTTCCTTCTTAGGTTGAGCAATGGAAATAACTGCCGTAACCTCTCTTTTGTCATCTTCTTCTTCTTCTTCTTCAACCACAACTCTTTCAATATCAATATGATCTCCTTCACTTTCTCTAACATCCCTTCTTCCCTTCGCCCTCTTCCATAACTTCAATTCCCTCAGTTTAGCCTTAGCCAAGTCCCGGCTCTTCTCGGCCTCCATCTTCTGCTCCACCGAGACCGAAACACGCCAATCCGCTAGTGAATTCTCCTCGTCGACTCTCTTCTTCCGAGCCATATACTCTTCATGAGAGAGTACTAATAGAACTTGACCATGATCATCAACACCCTCCTTTTCCATTATCGTTTCGGGGGCAATATTCAAATACCGGAGCGCTTCTTTTCGGGATTCGCCGCACGCTTCTATATCTTTCCGTGCAGCCTCTATTCTCAACTGCAACGACCGAAGTCTTTGCCTCTGCAGCCTCAGAACCCGCTTCAGTTTCAACTTCTTCTGTCGTTTGTTGCCCGTGAAACGCTTCAAGCTTTCCATCTCTTCGCGTAGTTGGTCTAGAGCCTGAGTTACTTCGTTGGCCTTCTTCGTCGCTTCGAGCTCTTCTTCCTTCCTTGACTTGATCTCCGCATTCATCGTCTCAAGCTCCTTTTCGAGCTCTGAGACGTGAGAATTGGAGAAAATAAAAACTTTGTTTTTCGAAATTTCGAGGTTTGACTTTAGCGTCTCGAGGTCGTCGATCAGAGGACGAGAGTCCAGCCATGATTGTGTGGCGTTTTCTTTGGCTTTCTTTAGTTCTTCCTTAATCTTGATCAGCTCTTGCTTCTTCACCCTCAACATATAGCTTTTGGGAGACTCCATTTTGCATAAATGTACAATCGTTTTCCTTTTTTCTTTTCACTCAAGGTCAACTTATAAATTAGCTAGACTTAGAATAATCATGTCATTATGTTAATAATCTGGTGAGTATTCCAATAAATTCTTGTTATAAAACAGAGGAGTGCTTATGGCGATGATGTTCCTATGTATGGTTTAGTTAATGTCGCATATTGTCGCATATAATTAAATCTTTGGATTATAAAATCTTTTGCCGGCTTTATCCTATTAGAAGGAGTGAAAGGTTTGACGCATTTCTTTCCGTTTTGTGAGTGATCCATTTTTACTGCAAAATATCTTTTGATTTCGGCAAACATAGCCCTTTTGACATGACCAATAAAAACATGACTTGAAAAAAAAAAAATTTAAAAAAAATGACACACACACATAAGGGTTAACTTAAAAAAATCCATATTCTATGGACAATGAAGAGTATTCATTCAAGAAAGAAAAAATTAAAGAGGAGGTTAAAAAGTAATTTCCAGTTTTGTAACGCTAAAATTAAAGGGTTTTATGTCTGTGTTTTAATCATGATTTTTTTCTATTATGGACTGCAATATCGTTGCCACATAACTTAGGTAGATGAGCTCTTTTTGCTCTTTCTATGCCTCCTTTGGGATTTTCTGCCCTCTGTTGGTTTTTTGTTCTGTTTTGGCTGTTTGGCTGTCTTCCATTATGGTTGGCCTTAGTTTTGTGTGTGTGTGTGTGTGATAATTGGCTAGTTCTTAATTACTTGTTTGTTTTACTACTTGCCTGCCAAAAACAAGAGGCAAGAAAATGACGAGACAAAAAAATAGCTATATATACATAGATATATATATATATATATATGTGTGTGTGTGTGTGTGTGTGTGTGTGTGTGTGTGTGTCTGCGTGTGTGTGTGGTCAGACGGCTGCACCAGGTCTAGGAATATTGGCCATCTGCTATATATACATATATAAATACCTTTGATTGTCTCATGACAAAACGTGAAAGAAATCACACTTCTTTATAACTAATACAAGATAAATAACACCAACCGATCATGAAGACTTATTCGAACGAGAAATCACACTTCTTTAAAACTTGTTTATTTTCTTATTCGAACCAAACGAACTAGTTTCAGTTTTTACGTCTGAGTGTCCTTTCCTCTGAGAGACGTTTGGCAAAGTGGGCAAGAGCCTCTGCATTGATTCCTTCTCCTTTTATTTCCTCATACCTACCGGTGTCCAGATTCACCCTCGAAATCGGCTTCTCTAAAAGCTTCTTCCCGATCTCTGCAAGACTTTGCATATTCTGTGGAGTCGCTATGTCAACCGATGCCCCATTTCCGGTCAATGTATCATCCTAGCCATTAATTTCCAAAATCAGTACACAAAACCGCACAATTTTTTTCAAACTCGGTAATCAAATTCTAACTAGAATACCTGAATCCGGAGATAGTTTTTCTTGCAACGAAGGGATTGGAAGAGAGTGGAGACATGAAAGTCAACGACATCTGAACTTGCATCGGCGAAAATGTCAACGAGTGGTGTTCTGCCATTCTCAAACACCCAACTGAACGCACCCCATTTGGAGGCCATGGCTGCATTGTACTTCTCTTCATTCTTTGGTGTGCCTGTGCCTAGTGATAGCACTAAGGTCCTTTCTCCATCCATAGGTTTCATGTCATTGAACTCCTCATTCTTGATCGCTATTCCTCTGGAAATGTAGTTTATTGCCAACATTGTCTTTTGACCATTATAGACAAGATTCAAAATTTTGTTAATTTGAATTACTTAACAAACATTTCAAAAAAAAAAAAAAAAAAAAAAAAAGTTAAAAAAAGCCCTCAGCTCTCTCTTCCTCAGAGCTAGAAAAACAACATGAATTAACCAATTTTTACCCTTGTTGGTATAGTTTCACATGATAATTTCTAATTTTATCATAATTATCCCCTTGAGTGTGAACATTTTTCATACTTGAAATCTTCTCCCAAAACTAGTAGGCTCAGTTTAGCATTATTTTGGAACTCCTAAAAGCACTTTTGCACGAGAAATTATACAACTATAGTGGTGAAGAATAAGATAATTAGGATTTAGTTTATTTTAATACATAATTCAATAGGGATAAAGAACAGGGTCAAAATGGTAATTTTACTTACGGGGTTGTTTGCGGCAACTCCACCGTCGATAAGGTCAAAAGAGCGAGTCTTTCCGTCCTTATCACTAGTGGTAAAAAAGTGCGCGGGGAGAAATGTGGGAGCTGCAGAGGTTGCTACGCAAATATCTGCAAGTCGAGCATTTCTCAAAGCATTTTCTTTTGCCTACACATAATTTATTACGTATTAATTGAGATCTATTAAGCTCCAAAATATTCCAACATGTAATATAACTAGATAATAATTTTAGTAATTATATCATACGTCATTAGTGGAGAAGAACACAGGCTGGAGAAGCTTGACATCAAAAGCTGGTATGAGTACATTTGTTAAAGTCTCCTTTAAAGTCAGATCGCCTAGAAGTGAGTTGGTCATGGAACGCAGGTACTTTCCATCATACTTAGGCCCAATAACCGTCCCAAAGAAACTTGCTAACGATGTCAAGAAATTATTTCCGCTGAATCCATACTCACATTAGTACAGGGAAAAAAGACGTTCAACAGAATTAACCTTATTGTTTTGAAACCATCAAATCTTTATTAAGTTCGGTCGGTTTTGCATATTTTTTTCATTGATGTAATGATTAGGAAAAAAAAAAAAGAAAAAGACACACGACACTTTCAAATATAGCTGATGATCAATAAATTAGAATTTACCGTCTCTGAGGGAAAATCTTAGGGGAGTGTTCCAAATAGAAGCCCGGGATGTCCTTGGCAGCATACATGGGTCGGTTGTCCTTGTTGGGAGCTGTAAGCATGGTGGTGACTAATCCACCAGTGCTTGTTCCGGCTATTATGTCAAAGTAATCTGCAATTCTTGCATTGGGACCATCCAATTCCTAAAAAATCCAAGTACCCATTTCTTGTTATGTACATATACTAAGAAAACATACTAAAAAAGAAAGATTGAGGTGTATAGTACAAGCTATTATATATCTGTGTGTGTGTGTGTGTGTACATATATAGATACATGTATATACCTGAAGCTTGAATTCAAGAAAGGCCAAATGAATGGCTGGAATTATGCCCCTAATTCCACCTCCATCAATGCTCAACACTGTAAACATGTTTCCCTTAGCAGAACAAGCACTCGCCATTTTGATCCACTCGAACTGAAATTTGTTACGTTTTCTTTTTTTCTTCTCTTAATACATCAATATCCACAACTCACCTACCGATGACTTGACCTATAATAAAACAATACAATTAAGTCAGGAAGGGGACCTTTATATTATAACATTCAACTATGATCATTCGCAGGGAAATAATCCTCTAGTTCATGGTCTATCTATGACATATAGGTACACATTTGATAATCATATATATCTAGGTCGCTTTTGATAATTATATATGTTAGGACTTGGCAATTTGTTGATATTAATTATTAAAATTCAAAAAATGTACTTTTAGCAACTAGAGTTTATAAAGAAGATTTGAGAAGATTTGATTGCTTGTAAAATCATAAAAATCCTTAGAGATTTGGCACTACAACAAATATTAATATCAATAGCTGACTAAAACGCTATTAATCATTAGCAATAGCGTTTTTAAGAGCACTAGAACATCAGGCGCTATTAAAAGTCCTAAAAAAACATAGCGTTTTAAGAGTTATGGAAAGCGCTATAGAATTAAGGTATTATAGCGTTTAAGACAAGTTATTTTCAACCTCTTGCAGCTATTTAGCATGGCTACGATACAGATTAATAACTTTTTTACCTTGTTATGTTCATACTCTTGTAGCTTTTTAAAATTATTATTGATATCCTTTTAAATTCATTCAAATAAATGGTAATTTTGGGCAACATCTTACATCCAAATAGGAAAATTCAAATTAAAACATAAAAACGTTGAATATAATAATTGTTATCAGTATCTACAAAATTGACAATAAGATTTTTACAACACAAGTCACACCATTTGTTCACAACTTTAACATTAAAAACAAGTAAAGAATATAGAGAAATAGCTAGAGATATCAAAGTATCCAAAACGTCTAGCCAAATGAAATGATTAAGTAAATAATCCATCTTGACAAAATACTCCAACAAAAAGGTAATCTCCTGTAGCAAAGCAACTATTGACCTATCACAAAATTAATCCAATTAATTAATTAAAACATATAAATTGATTAACTAATGAAGCACAAAAAGAAAAAAACAGATAAACCATACAACTAATGAAGAATACTTTGTATAAGTAAAAGGAACTAGAAAGTGTGGATATTATTTGATGTGTAGCAAGGGACAATACGATTGTAAATCATATTAACAAACAACCTTCAAAGAGAGCCTTGAATAACATCAGATAATTTATACAATAAACTATGAAATCCATTGGCACAACAACATAGAGTCTGACACACTCCAAATCTCCAAATAGTATTGCACGCGATGGCATGAATTTGAAGTCAAAGAGATAACCAAGAATGTGACTTACATCTTCATCAAGCAAGCATGCAAATGCTCCTGCTTGCTTACCGCATTTTACCTGCAAAAGGTTGTGACGTTTTCTGCATATACAACACAAGTAAGAAATCATTGATGTCGGATTGACAACGGGATATCATCTTCAAGCTCCTGAATGGTGATTATTTCTATCTATATCCAAACAAACACCACTACAATCTAACATAAAACCTTAGGCCTCGTTCACTTCGCGGATTCGAGTTTTCAATTCGAGTTGAGATGTGACATTTTATGAGAGCTTTTTACTGTAGCAGAAAAAGTTATATGTGACATTTTCTGAGAGCTTTTTACTGTAGAAACCTAAAACTGAAAACTCGAATCGGTGAAATGAACGAGGCCTTAATTTTATCACACACGCATGAATCACAAGAAACTAAGGTAAACACAGCATGTGGATAACATGTTAATGGATGCATTTTGGTTGGAAGATGGCAGAAATTCACCATAAACACATGGAAACTTACACATCACCAGGAGGTGCAGAGTCAAGCTGTAAGTTCATTACAAGTTCTGACGGTACAAAAATCTCTTCCAAAGGACTGCTTGGTGCCTCATTTTTCGAGTCACTTGATTGGGAATCAGAAAACAACTCCTACAATATGATATACAACGGGTGATTAATTCTAGTGTGCAATTATTTTGCGAGTGGCAAAGCCCACTCAAACTATTTTAGCAAGGAAAAGACGCAAGGAGAACCTGAGTATCATCAATAGGAGCTCAAAATGATTGATTGGATTCCTCACTCACAACCTGTATCCAAATGGAAGTGTCATGCAACCCCTCCAAAAAGCTTGTTGTCTTAAAACTTAAAAATTCAAATTGACATGCCATGAGAATAAAAGCAACACTTTCCTAAAACTGCAAGGTTGGCACGGCATGAGCTCTTGAAACTTCTTTCTTTTTTTTGGTTGAAAGTATGAGCTCTCAGTGTATTTTAGCAGAGAACTCACCATATGAGGAACTTTTACGCTGCTGGGTCTCACTCTATCATTAGATTCATCCGTGTTCAGCACGTTGATGCTACCCTCAGCTTCAGTAGGACGAGAAATAGTCTCCTTACATGTCGCTGCCAAAACTCTATTATCTTCTCTCTCATCTACACGAGTATTTTCTATATTTCGGATTACAGTAACTTCCCAAAACTGCGGCGGCCAGACATCACGCAGAGCGTGTGGGTCTTGTTCCTTCTCTTACCGAAACTTCCCGTTCCCTTACCCTATAGTTTCGATTCAAACAAAAACAGAACAAAAAAAACCCCAAAAATCAACAAAAAAATCACACACGTACAGATCTCAAAACATACGAGAATGGACATGAATGCCGGAACAGAGAAACGAATACGGACTTGAACCATATTCCTAAATCTCACTCAAGTGATAAAACTAGCAGAGGCAGCCGCATAAATGTGCTCCATACTAGAAACACTAGCAGTAAGATTTTTGACCACAGAGAGGGCCAAGTTACTTTGACCAAGTCTCCACAAGGATAAAGCATATATGTGTAGACCTTCTGCATCAAGCAATCCTTAAACATCAAATAAGAGAATATAATAAATCAGAAAGTGAAGGAAACAAGTTCCAAATTTAATATAACATAACTAAGCAATTCTCCTGGATCAATCAAAAAGAGAACGAGTCATGAACTGGAGAATAAAAAAGAAAACAGGTAGCAGCAATAGTATAGGATTAGTATTACTGCCTTGCAGAAACACCAGCAGTAAACTCCCAAAACTTCCAAACTCAAAAGGTTATAAACTCACCTTGGTGTTAAATGTAAAAGAAATTCAAAGATGAAAAAGTTGAGACCAGATATGCATTGTTCTCCTAAGAGAGCGGTAAAGGATATTACATTCTGGCACTACTAGATATTACATTCTGTTATTTAGCTGTAAAGCGAAAGAAGGTACAATTGCAAGTCACACTATACACAAACCTTCTATTTTCAAGTTTTCACATTCCTGTGCGGCATCTAGAAAATTTCCAGCCTGCACCAAATGTATCTTCTTAAGTATGCAAAATAAAGATGAATCTAACACTCACAAATGTAAAACCCATAGTTGGAAAGAAAATACATATATATTTGGGCCGTAAAATTAATCACAAACTTGAAAGACAAAATTTTACCTTACTAAGAGATCTGGCCAAATTAATTGATTGTGATTTGAGATTTTGAAACACTGAAGGAAGAGTCAGCGACTCTGCATCGAGCTAGCCTATAAGAAGCAGTAGCAGACTATAATCAAATCATGCCTCACAAGCAATCAAATCTACAGAAACTACGGATGGGAAATCAATAACAGAAAAAATTAACAAAAATTTCCTTCAAAATCACAAGTAATCAGATCTACAAATTGGGAGAAAATATGCACAAATGATCAGAAAATCAGAAAAAAGAACCAGCTAAACACCTGAAGGAGGGCCATACCTAGTTAGATTTGGGGGAGGAGGGCCGGATATTCGCCGATCAAGAAAACGCTTGCCACAGTTGGACGATCAGATTAGGCGAGGAGAGGAGATGCAGAAATCAGATCAGGCGAGGTGGTGTTGGAAAATGGGTCTCAGATCAGAAGAACTGAAAAATCGGTGGTCTTAATTTTGTTTTTTTGGAAAATGGGTCTCCAAACGTAATCCTCAGAACGTTTTTTGTTTTTGCCCTATAACTGGAACCAATGGAGCAAAAACTGAAACATAAATCCGCCATTAAAACACAACATCGAATGATAATACTAGTAACCGAGCTTGGCGTAGGAACAGCGCTTCACGTGCCTTCGATCTTCCTTACACAACCCAGTCTTCACAAAATCAAGTATCGATCTTTCTTCCTAAGAATGCACGGGGAAATCTGGAAATTTAGGGGAAAGAGAGGATCGAGTGAGGTTTTCTTCTTCCTTGGCCGGGTAAACGCCTCTTCGACAGTGGAGGGGAAGTGGGAATTTGGGGATTTTTTCTGTTCCTTTGTTCGTCTGTGTGACTTAGCACCACTCTGCCACAAATTAAACAGACCCAAAAAAGCACAATGTGGCACATGAGCGGGAAACGTTCAATTTGAAGGAAAAAATTTTCACTCCCCGCCCAACTTTGCTTCTAATGTTTGTGTTTACATATATTTAGGCACCATTCACTTCACCGATTCGAGTTTTTAATTTGAGTTGAGATGTGATGTTGTGTGAAAATTTTTTACTGTAGTAAAAAAGTTAGATGTGACTGTTTCTGAGAGCTTTTTACTGTAACAAAACTCGAATTCTAAACTCGAATTAGAGAAATGAACAAAGGCACCGTTCAGTTCACCGATTCGAATTTAGAATTTGAGTTTTGTTACAGTAAAAACCTCTCAAAAACAGTCACATCTAATTTTTTTACTACAGTAAAAAACTCATATAAAGTCACATCTTAACTCAAATTAAAAACTCGAATCAGCGAACTAAACAGCCTATTAAAAAAACCGTTCAAATTTCATGATATTTTTAGAGATATATATAAATATATATGATAACTATTTTAAAACGCTATTACATATATGCAATATAACGTTTTTTTAAAAATGCTATAATTAACCGTTATAAAAAGGACTATTTTGTTGTAGCGTGGGATAAGTTCTATTTGATAAAAGAAAAGATAATTTTGATATGATTGAGGTATTTAAATTAGGAGATTATGATAGATAATTACATGAAAAAGAACAGCACATTTGGGTTGATAAATCCGAATTAATAGAGGAGGAAAACTAATCACGTGGAGTACAAGAATGACCAAATGAAGCTTGGTTTATCCTTGGGAAATATATATATATATATATATATGAGATAATTGTGAGTAATTTGTCAAGAGAGAATAGTGGAAAAGTATAGGATATTCAAATTGAAGTTGAATTAATTCTTGGAGAATGTTGTGAAGCCTCATTATTAAGGCATTTTTTTTGCAGCTCATTTCTATAGGGGATTGAATAGAAGATCTTCAAAGAAAAAGTTTGTGAGTTTGAGAGGTTTGAGCGTCATTGATTTCGTTCTTTGGGAGAGGGATTAGAAGCTTACAGGAGAAAGCACACTGTTAGCCGATGTGATTTCACAATGCAGTTTGGAGACGAGTGGTGCTCGTTGGACAGTGTCATTAAAGAGATTCGACACGGCAGCGACAACATCAAGGAGGGAGTCTTTAGGTGTATAAGTCCGATTGGTGTTTGTAATCTTGAGACTTAGTGGATTGTTCACTGTTTGAGCATAACCCCGCAGATGTAGGTGTGCACACCGAACTGCGATACTAATTCCTAGTGTTCATTATTTTTTCTACATGTTTACTTTAACGTTTCTGCACATAATCATTATAGTTAATCACCAGTGTTACAGATGCCATCTTCAAGAGCACTGAATGTCATCTTCAACGGAGTGGATGCCGATCAATTTAAGCTCATTTCAAGATGTAAATCAGATAAGGACGCTTGGGAGATATTACAAATGGCTCATGAGGGTACGGTTGCCGTCAGATTATCAAAGCTTCAAATCCTTACTACAAGGTTTGAAAATCTTCGCATGCTTGAAAATGTTACAATTTCTTTTTACAGCTCATTTCCATAAGGGATTGAATAGAAGATCTACAAAGAAAAAGACTGTGAGCTTGAGAGCTTTGAGCGTGATTAATTTCTACCTTCGGGAGAGGGATTAAAAGCTTTCAGGAGAAAGCGCACTGCCAGCCGATGGGATTTTGCAGTGCAGTTTGAAGACAAGTGGTGCTCTCTGGACAATGCCATTAAGGAGATTCGACACAGCGGCGACAACATCAAGGAGGGAGTCTTTAGGTGTATAAGTCTGATTGGTGTTTATAATCTTGAGACTTAGTGGATTGTTCACTGTCAGAGCGTGACCTTGCAGATGTGGGTATGTGCACCGAACTGCGATACTAATGCCTGGTGTTCATTATTTTCTCTGCACGTTTACTTTAACGTTTTTGCACATAATCATTATAGTTAATCACCAATGTTACAGAAATAATATTATTTATAACACCTACGTAAAAAGAGACATTTTAATATCTACAATGGAATTCACTTTTAAACATACAACTTTGTACTATTTAATATGCTTCACTTACTCAAACAGAATATTCCGTCATAGGTTGACGAGTAAGTTACATTAAAATCATATGAGAATAGAATAAAATATTGATAATTTCAGAAAATATAATGAAAATCTAACGATTTAGAACCTTACTTTTCGAGATATTTTTCATCACGTAATTTTTCGGTTTAAACATAGCAAACTATTACCTTTTATCTTCTATTCATAGTGGACCATTTCATGGCTACTTATAGTTCCGAAGGTATTTGCAATACTAAAACTTGTTCAAAAATCGACTCATAATTATCTTGAAGAATTGTGTCCATATTGTGGCTGAGAAACTGCAAGATGAAGCATAGTTGGCTGTTCGGATACAAAATAAACTCTGTTAGGTTATACCATGAGAAAATGGTTTCTAGAAACTCTCTTTTTTTATTTTTGTTTGAACAGAGGACATGTATAATTTTGTGTCGCTTTTCAGCTTCTGATCATATTTGAATAATGTACTTTCCAAGACGTTTAGAAAATTAATTAAAAAAACGTTTTCATATGGCTTTGTCCACACTAAAATCTCTCTGTTTTTTTTTTTTTTTTGTAAGTAAAGCATTTTCAAGCTTCCTTCTAGGATAATCAAGAGAAAATAAATAATGATTGAGATACTCATTCTAATTTCAAGTGTTAATACCATAGTTTAAAATATTAAGTCGGCAACCAACTCAGCGAATAGAAAACAATCAAAGAGAGCCATTTATCAAGGATCGACATTATTCGTCCAACATCGACACAAGCATGTAAGTTTGCATGTAATGTTTTCTTTATTTAATTATATATTCACATTTCATTTTTAATAATTTTAAAATGCATCTTTGTGTCATAGGGGAGAGATATCATAGAAAACTATCGGCAGACGAACTACCGTGAAGGGCACGGTTAGGCTAGTGAAAAGGCTAAGGCAAAATTTGTAAGTTAGAGAACCATGTCTCATGTTTTTACGTAAGTTTTATCTATAACACTTTATTGATACATATTATCTTTTTTTAATGTATGTCTAGCTTGAGATGGAACGTCGGTATAATCTGGCCACACAGACATCTTCAGAGACAGATGAGGGTTCATACTTTATAGCTTTGACTCAAGAGGAGATAATGGCCGAGGTTCTCGGACAACGTGAGGATACAAGAAGGGAGTTGGCCCAACGCTGTCTCGAAGGAACATACTCCGCATTCTCAACAACCGCAACCGCAGCCTAATTATGAGGAGCATAGTCAGTGGCTTCAGCAGGTGTACACACACCTCAACCAAGCAAACATCCCTGTCCCTCCCCCTCCACGTGCATTTCAACCATCACCACCACCGGCCAACGATGATGATACTAATGGTGCAACAGACTTAGGGGCTCATTAGATGTTATTTATGTTGTTTCTTGTTTTTAGAGACTAGTTATTTTACTCTAGTATAAGACACTTCATTCCATGTTTAGTACTTGATCTGAACTTCTAACATTATCACCTATGACTTATATGGCTTATATTTAGTATTCGCTTTTATTAATTCATGTGATATGTGATTATTTGTTGTTTTTAATCATTATTATATTTATTGTTACAAATTAGATTTTATTAATCATTTGATATCAAAAGTGATTAGTAAAATAGAGATATTAAAAAAAATAAAAATAAATAAAAGATTATTTTTAAAAAATATATATTTTCAAAAAATTATATTTCAAAACAATATATATTATTGTCGCTATAAGAAAATTTAAAAAAAAAAAAAAGTAGAAGCGTTTTAGCGACGAAATTTTTTAATATGTCGTCGCTATTAAATACGTATTTCTGACAAATATTTCAATTAGTGACAATATTTTTAAATATGTCATCGCTATTAAGACATTATTAGCGATGACATTTGAATTAAATCGTCATTGTATAGCGACGACATTTTTCGTCGACTGATCTGGTAATTTATAGTGACGATAGTTTCCTCGCTGTATAGAAGTTTTAGTGACGACAGGATAGTCGTCGCCAAAATCATTTTCAACGATAGATCTATAGCGATGAATATTTGGCAACGACATGTCGTCGCTAAAAAATTTAGAGCGACAACATTGGCACTTTTTGCGGCGCTAAAAAACCACTTTCTTGTAGTGTTTATTTCTTGTGATTGAATGGAGCCAAAATTTTATTTCACTGAGGCCACTAATAAGAACTTTTTTTTTTTTTTATTTCTCACAAAGAACTAAAATGTAAATACAGAGATCAAAGTGATCTTCAAGAAAACGACGTAAAGTTCACGCATAATTAATCATATTCAACGTGTTCAATTAAAACTGCATTAGTTTTTCTTATAGAAATCAATATTGTATTAGTTATTGAAGCTGATAAATCTCTAAAAGCAATCAAAGCTTTTTTTTTTTTTTTTTTTTGAAAAAGTGTAGATTAAGAAACTGGATAATAAAAAGGAATCAAAAAATGTCCAAGATTATTCAGCGAAAATAGCGGTTAGAAGATTAACTAAGAATACCACCAGCTAAAGAATTTAACGAATATATATGATGATTGACGAACAACGTAAGGCATTGAAATGGACCTGTAAATTCTCCTAGACCAACGCTAACGAGCGTAGACATGTAATAGAAACCATATATAGCTGCTCCAATGACACCTAGTTACGGAAAGATGATAAATTTGTGAAAGTTGAAGGCCCAACTGATCATGCAACTATTTCCTATAAATTGTTGACCTGTGATTTGACCTGGTAAAAGAACCCAAAAACAGGATGTTCGTTGAGTGAACAGAGAGGAAACCAAAATTGTGATGCACAAAATCAATTATTCCAGCTAAAAAACATAAAAACCTCGGAATCATTATGCGCTGTCATCACCGAGTTGTTAAACAACTCTAAAAAGAACAAAAAGAAAGAAAGAAAAAAGAAAAAAAAAAAAAAAAAAAAACCTAATCTCCTTGTACCTCTTTAATCGGCTCCATGAAATCAATTAATTTTGCCCTCTTCATTATTATCAATATATACACTCACCAACAAACAAAATCCCTTGTGCACCGCACCCCCATTGTCACATGGAGGGGCGGGTCCCGGCCGCCTCCGCCGACCCTGACACAACCAATGACGACCCTCCATTGTCACCACCCCGCCGTCCTGAGACCTATGTAATCCAAATCCCCAAGGACCAAATTTACCGCGTACCACCACCCGAGAATGCCCTAATTGCCGAGCGCTTCCGTAATCCAGAAACCAAAGGCAGGAACCCTAGTTTGCCTCGCTCGTTATTGTGCGTGGGAATAATCCTTTTCGCTCTTTGCCTCATATTTATTGGGATAACCCTTTCCACCTTGTTCTTCGCTTTAAGCCCGGAAGCCCCTACGATCTCTATCTTGCATGTCGTAGTTACGAACCCAAAACATTACGACATTTATTTGAAAACCAATAACGCGAATTCGAGAACCGGCATTTACTATGAAAAAGGTGGGAGCGCCACCCTATTGTTCGGAGAAAAGAACGTCGGCGAGGGCGAATTTCCAATGTTGTATCAACAAGAAAGTAGCTTTGCCACTGTACAACTCGTCATAGATGGAAATAAATCGTTGCCTCGTGAAATGGAGAAGAGTATTAACGAAACTAAGTCCGATTTACCGGTTCCGTTGGCTCTTAAAATGGAGGTTCCGGTTACGATGAATCTAGGGTTTCTGAAGATTTGGAAGAATGAGATTTTGGTTGATTGCAAATTTAAGCTCAGTGCATTGCGGACTAATGGCGGTTTCCAGCTTCTCTCGCAAGAATGTGAGACTACGTTCGAGCCCTGATAAAACAAGTTGGTGGCTTTGTGAATTGTGATTAATATGATGATCTGATTAGTTTAGTAAATGATACAAGGTTATTGGAGATTATGTCAATCGCCAAGAAATTAAGGTTATGTTCAAGTACAGGTCTCTTTTCTTAATTCCCAAAACATTTATGTGAACTTGTTTAAATTGGGCTTGCTATATGCCATTGCTTATTATGATTAGATCTTTCTGTTTGGTTAGTGGGTGAGAAATGGTATAGTTGAGCTAGAGACCCAATTTAATTGATTAATTTATTCTGTCTTTCTACACAATCTTTATTTATGATTATTTCTGTACTTTGTACTGTGGCGCGTACATCTTGTATGGGTAACTTCTCTCATGGATGTTCCCTTATCTTAAAGTACTATAAACGTTCTAAAAAACTTGTGTAAGTTCGTCCTTAATTAAATCGAGGGTGGGTTTAAAACCACCTTCAATCTACTCTCTTTATACACTTTCTAAAACAGCCTACTAATTAAAATTTAATATCCAAAGTAAAACTTTAAATAAAAAAAAAAAAAAAAAGCAGTCCCTATTACAAAGTTGTATCTTTTTATACATCATTAATCAACTGGTAACTCATTTTTAATTTGATAATTTTTTCCTCCCGAGATTTTGTATTTTAATGAGATGGAATCACATATCTACCCAAGTTCTGAAGGAAGAAAAGAGAGAAAGGCGAGAGGTCTGAAGAAAGTGGGATGGCAAGTTTTGGGACAGTCTCTTAAGTGCGTGGAATAGTAGGCTTTGGTGGTGCGGGGTGGTGTGCAGAATAGAGCTTCCGTTGGGGTGGATCAAATGCGGGAAGGATGTTGCTAGCCATTGGTTTAGAGCATTATCATTGGTGCATCAAATATCCGACGGTCAAAATACTTCTAGGGTTCGATCAGTGCGGCGACGGGATTCTTGCGGTGCAACGGTGTTGTTTTTCAGCGATGGCGCTTGGGGTTTACCTAATGTGGTTCGTGCGGCACAAAGACTACACTATGCTTCTCTCATGCTTCACTGATCGTCTCATTGCTAGAGGTTTTGTCAGTGGTGCTTGGGATTTTTCTATTGTTTTTCTTAATCTGTCTTGTGGTTTGTAATAACGATGGCTTTTATTTGATTAGGTGTGATGTTTATCTTGTTTTCTAGTATTAGGTTGTGTTTTTAATATGCTAGATTTGTTTCATTGCAGTGTTTTGTGTAGGCCACACATCTCTCGATTTTGATGGATTAAATTTCTCCATCAATTGAAAAAGGTTTTGCTAAAGATTAATGTGTGTGGTCGATTGTTCCATTTGGGTGTCCGTTTTCGAAACTCGGTACATATCATTTTTTTTTTAGCGTTTTATTTGAGTTTATTGATGGATTTGATTGTCTATCACAACCATAGTTTCTTTTAGTTTTGAGGCCATATATCAGTGTTTACATTTCCTTGATTTGCAATATATCATCCTCAAAAAGATGTTCCATTTCTCTATACGTGAAACTCTACTAGTGGAGAGGTAATGAAATCATAGACATACAAACATTAATACATATACATATATACACACACACATATATATATTTTACTTTTTGTATTTTTTTTATAATTGAAATATTGTGTTTTTTTCCAATAAAATTCTAGTTAATTGCATCTCTTTCATTTTCTCGGAGAAACGTTACAGGTTTTCCATTCAATCTTAATATGATGCACTACAAACAAAGAGATTATACCGTAACCTTTTTTTTTTTTTTTAATAAAGACCAATAATCCCCCTGAAGTATATATCTTGTTTAAAAGTGCTCCTAGTTTAAATAATAAGTCTATATAAAACCATGACAACCACGTACTTTTTTTAAACAAAATTTCAATGAATAATGTTGGAGACGCCAACTCAAATCTCAACTCTTCTGTGCCAGTTGATGTGTGACGACTGAGTTGTCTTTTTTTATTGATAGATGGAATCTCTTATCATTAATTGATGTGATAATGATTTAAACACTCATTAATATAAAAATAATAATTCACATGTCCCATTAATTAATATACAAGTTGGTCCCTTGCATTTTTTAATTTGAATATTCATGAGGTTTGATTGTAGTATTTTTCTCAAAGTCCGGTGGATCTGCCCTTTATTCAGTCTGTATGCCAATTAGCGTCCAATAATTAAAACTCCCTTCACATAAACATCTCACAAGTTTTAAGGCTCAGCTGGGCCAAACTTTGGTACCTAAGAAGGCCCGGCCCAAAAAAGTGATGAATGCGCAGTTGGTTTAGACCTACATACTTTAATGGTCACGAACTATGGTACAGTATTCGATGCTAGCCATTCATGAACATGCGTGTATATCAATTTTTCTATGTATATATGTGTATAATATGGTAGTATCGAAGCCAAGTACTGTAAAAATAAAAATAAAAAGTAAAAAAAGACGTACACCAATGAGATAGATACTAGCCACAATCCCTTTCAATGTCAAAAGTTTGGAAAATTAAGTTGTATTTCAATTCACCTAAAAAAGAGGGGAAAAAAAAACTCGAGAGCTGAGCAAGATTTTCATGCCTTTAAAGTTGTCAGATTTTTGGATAAATTATTCTTTTGTAGAAGAGAAACTCGAGAATTTAATAATGCTGTGACAAACTAGTACGTGCCTTTGTACTGTGCATGTGTGTGGAGCATAGGTCAATAACTTAGAACAAACCACTGAGAAACTATAATCTTGAGCAGAGAATATTGTAAGAGATATTTCCTACTAATACAAATTGTTATCTTTTTACATTTTGTTAACTCACTATATAACAGAAGGAGGTTTTCTAATAGGAAAAAAAAAAAAAAAAACTTTAGCCATGGTTTTCTACTTTTAACCGTCATATATGTATTAAAAACCGTATGTTCTGTATATTTTTTAATTTGATATGATTTTGATTAAATCTCGATCAGAAACTGACTCTACCGGTAGAAGACCCTACCAAGGAAAGTTCCACTGTAACAAAAGAAAATTAAGTTCAATGGAGAGTGCCTGTTTACTCACAAGAATAACTGATTAATATACAGATTTTCTGTACTTAAAATGTTAAGTTTATTATATATATATATATATATATATTGCTAATGAAGTTTATTGTATATAATTGTGACTTATAAGCTGTTGTCTTCATAATAATATTGGTTGACAGCGCTCGATGGAGTAAAATATTTATACGTGAGTAGTATTATTGGTCACGTAAGCGTGACAATAATCTAATATATATTTGACTAAGCACGCATGTCTTCATTGGGCGTATGTATCATATACATAAAGATGGGTGGATCCACTTTCATGGCTATATCCTACCGTTTTTCAATATTTTTCTTGGAAAAGATCTTACTTCGTTAGTGCAAGAAAGTATGACAATTATTGCATAAGACATTAATATTTTCTTTTTCTCAGAACATAAAGCAAGTTGCTTTAGCAGGTGGTACTTAAAAAAGAGTGTTGGGCAAAAGGAGGGAAACTTTAATGGTGTACTGCGAAATTAATATTTTTAAGAAAAATAGACAGTGGACACCATAGAACAGGCCAGGCCAGTATCTTCTTTTTCACTTGAACTAGCTTTATAACTTTGTTTAAAAGGGATTCCCACCTGTTTTTTTTTTTTTTTCTTTCTCTTTTTCCTTTTTTTTGTCTTTAATTTCATGCGCTAGCACATGGATATGTTAATTAGTTGGAAAACACGTACTTTATATGCTTCTTAATTTTATTAACGGGATTCAATGTTTCATTTTTCTTCTTTTGTTGTAAACTAACTTTTCTTTATTGTTGACAATTTAAAAAAAAAAAAAAAAAAAAAAAGAGTCATTGTTCCTTAATTAGGGTTGTATCGCATGCGCAAATTTCAAGACGATACCACATAAATATAACCGAAAGCAATATTGACTGATGCAAAGCTGACTCAGGCTAGTTTTTTTTGTATCATGTAATGTCATTGTCTTTGTTTAGTTTATAATCGCACAGGATTGACCAGTACTAGTTGCATCATGGAGATATTATAGAAAGGGTTCCCGGTGGAAAGGAGAGGAAACACTTAAAAATAAACATATTTTGATTATATATCTTCATCAACTTCTTGGTTCTCGTACTTTTTTTTTTCTTGACCTTCAAAGGTAGCTTAATTTAAGATAGGTTCTACAGGTAATCCAATAAGCAATCTTTCATAAAAATTCCTTTTGTGGCTTGTTTCATTGCTTTTCCTTATGTTTCGGGGTGGTATATAAGAAGAGAAAGAAAAAGCTATGATCATTTAATTAGCGCGTCAATGATAAACCAAAAGCTACAATTTTTTTTTTTTTGAAGTTTAAATTTTCTAATAAGCAATAAACATATTACAATAAAAATATTTATATGAAATCATATCAAATCTTTGACAAAAGTTTTAAAGTATTCTTAGAAAAGTTTTTTTGAGAGAACACACAAACACAATTTGTAATTTTCGATTCCAAATTTATCTAGAATGTCAAAAAAAATTTGAAAAGATTTTTCAAATGCTAATAGAAGCAACTTTGAACTCAAAAAACCACGCATCAAACTTTAGAAGCTTGCAGGAAAAAATGGCAAACAGCCTCTAAGAACCAAATCTATATCTATCTCGAAAGATTTAACCAAATGTAGAAATGCCATCCCCATGCCCATAAAATGCTAGATAACACTTGCAACATATATCTCAATAATGTCTGTGATGTTGGTTTTTTTTTTTTTTTTTTTTTTTTTTTTTTTTTTTTTTTTTTATGTATCAATTAAGATGTGCTCCATTTAATCGAGGCGAATTTTGCTTTCACGCATGAAAGTACAGCGTCCAACCGATTGCTCAAAAACAACACACACCAATTATTTCATATACGCAGCCAAATAATTATTTCATATTTTTGGTTCCAAGCCTCACCAATCTCTTTCATACAAAGTCAGGAGAGGATTTCTGACAGGTGCCGACCAATGACCCATTTCCACATAAGGTACTATTCACTTGTTCCCCATGTCAAGGGCATCTGGGTCACATGGGAATCCATGTGACCAAAGAGTTTGTGTTCATCCAATAAGCCAATATTGTACACGAAACACAAACCCCATTAAAAGTCCTTGTATGCACAAATACATATACATATATATATATATATATGTATGTGTATATATACAGGTTCCATACATGTATATATTCCAAGACAATAACAACGCACTACACTCTTTTTGGGCTCGACCCTCAATGCCGGGACCATTCCCTAGGGCAACACACGTGTAACAGATCTATTTCACTTATTTGTTAAGAAATCAACACGTATGAATAAGGCCATCTCTTGCCAACATGCACTTCTGACGAAAATTGCATACCAAAGTTTTCCCCTCCTTCGCTGTATTTTATAAGTCCCAATTCTGCAGTCCAAGTATTTGAAAGAATCGTAGCTTATAATAGGTATATGGCTGGCTGTTGCACGAAAAGAGAAAAAGAGAATTAACACGTAAATATAAAATAACACGTTTATTTGGAAGGTTTGGGTTGGTGGGAACAGTAGGGATTTATGCACTACCATATCTTCTCAAACGTATTAAAACGCTTTTTGTTTATTCTAATATGGTAAAAATAAAATAAAATAAAATAAAATACACAAACAAGATCTAGAAAAGTTGGCCTTTACCAAAGTTTTCTATGTGGGGAGGAAACAAATTAAAGAGATGGGGAGGGTTTGAGATAATTAATGATAAATATAGTTAGGATAACAGTGGATTTGGGATTTTATACTTTGGGTTCCGACCAATAATTGAAGCTGGCAAGAACATAGTTTAATTCTGTTAAGGCACCAATGATGGGGGGATTTGTATATCTAGTGGACTCCATCTTTCCACGTACGAAAGAGCCGAGGTTGTCAAAGATTTGGATCCATGTTAGTGTCCCTATTCCAAAAATCCATGCGTTTTTCTTCACATCAAATAATAAAAAAAAAGAGAACCCTCCCCCTTCGAAGTGGATTCCAACTCCTCATTCAACCACGTTAGATTCCCTTCTCGAAGTGGTGGTGGGTTTCACTTTCACAACCTAACCTAAAAGCTCACTCTTCCCCTCTTATTGTAAAGTAAAAATAAATAAATATAAATAAAAATAAATAAATAAATAAACATGAAAAATTAAGTTAGGACTTATGCATAATATTCTTTTGTTCTTTAGTGTGGGGTTTCAAATCTCGGTACCCAATGGTTAAGACTTTGTATAGTTGGTATTTTGTTTTTGCGCAGTAAGCAATAGATCATAGTCTGACCTACTATCTTCTTAATAGTTTTTTTTTTTATTTTTTTTTATTTTTTTTTGTTTCCTCATGTTTATATATTAATCACGAGGATACATAAATGCACACATATATATACACACATATATATATATATATATTGTGTATATATATATATATCAAGCAGTTTTATGCGCCCTATATATATATATATATATAGTTTTGAGCAGTTAATATTGTTTTAAAGAACAATGACACGACTTTTTAAATTTTAGGGCATGTATAAAGTATACAGTCAATGTATATGATTTGTTGTTGTGACTTTTATATTAGTTGGCTTATATGTTTGCCAACTCATTTCTCTACTTATGGGAGAAAGGGAAGTCGGCTGCATATATTAAAAAAGGTATCTCAAAAGCATATTGTTTATGGTTTCTTTGAAATCTTTTCTTTCTCTCTCCTGTCTGAGAAAAGGTTGTATGTAGAACCCCGGTATGTGAAAAAGGAGGCAGCTGGTATACATAACTTGGTAAGCGACAAAGCGCAGCTATTATTGTTCAGCTGAATATGGTGAAAAATATATATATATTAAACATTACAAACAAAGAATATTTCAATAAACAAGCTATAGTAGAAGCCCTAGATAAGCATTCAAATAATAATAATAAGAAAGTTCGTTTTCCTGTGCAATCTGATAACAGAAGTAAGGGAGTAGACTTTCAGCAGTGAATTAATTTGGCCCTTAACAATCATAGAAAAAAAAATCTGACAGGAAAAAGGTCGTGGAATCCAATTATTGATCAGGTAAAACAATAAAGATGGAACAAATATTATTATTTTGGTTACTCGTTATCCGTTAAAAAAGTATCAAACTGTGTAAATTGTATGAATAGCTTTTCTACTTGATCATTGATCCATTATTACTATTCTTGTTGAAACCATAATGCGAGGAATTGGAATGGAAAATTTGTATGTATCCTTTTCTTGGCACTGGCTATATGATAAAGAAATTAATAGTCAATTGAAAGAATATCTATGTAAAGTATACAATGTATCACAAGGAGATTTTTATTTTTTACAATTAGTCGTCTTCAACTATTTAAACGATTTTATATTTATGACATCTTGAATATCGAGCTCAGTAGTACTGCTTCGTTTGACTAAGTGTTTGCATGATATGCGACAAATAAGATAATTAATTCAATAGAGGGACATCGATTCCTTGTCAACCGGGGGTCCTCAAAACTTACTTGCTTTGTTGTATGTTTTAAACTGTGAATGCGTTTTCTTTTTTCTTTCCTTTTTTTTTTTTTTTTTTTGTTCTTAGTGGGGTTACGGTTTTACTTTTATATGCGCCTTAATAATGCATGAAAGATATCACGACATGTGCATTGAATTGAAAAATCAAAAGAATTTAAATATGATGGTAAGGGAAACTAGGAATGGAAGTTTATTCTTATTCTTATTATTATTGTTTTACTAAAAATAAAGGCGAGTTAATTAAACACCATCTTCTTTACCACCTCAATATAGGTACTCCTACTTCAATTATTGTTCATCCTTTTTATATTTTTATATTTCTTTTTCCTGAAACTAACTGTCTAATCATGATCACACACAATCTGCTCAATTATATGCATTAATTGTACAATTGAAAATTACACGGATTCAGATCACTTATCCAATTTTTTATGTGCCAAATGGTATCTAAAAAATATAGAGAAATAGTAGAAAATAGACCAATATGAAAAGTTTAAGAAAGTATATAGGCCAATTTTTAGTTATAGAAATTAATAGGCCATAACTTGTCAAGTTATGGTTCATAACCAGATAAGTTGTGGACAAACTTGTCAAGTTATAGTTCATAACCAGACAAGTTATGAACAATTATGAGCAATAACTTGTCAAGTTATGGTTCATAACCAGACAAGTTATGAACGAAAACAGTAATTTGACCTATTTATTAATTTATGTAAACTATTGGCCTATTAATTTTAATTCATCTCAAATCTTGGCCTATTTTCCTCTTTCTCTCAAAAATGTATCATGTTGCATCATTTAACGAACTTAAACATTAAAGCATAGAAAAAAACATTTCCACTTTTTTAAATGACATGGTATAATGTGGTTAGTTAGCACTATGTAGGACATTAAAATTGGATAGGTGATTTGATTCTGCAAAATACGCGATCCATAGAATAGTCTAGTTCGTAACGGGTTCATTCATGCAATTTAAAACCCTTTCCTTTTCAGACACAAAAAGCATAGGCATTTTTCTTTCCAGAATTAGTGATCACGTCTTTCCGCAGATTACTGAGTTCTATTAATTATTTGTCCTAAGAACCACTATATCCACTTTTTATGATCGAGAGAGTGTAATTATTGATTTTCTCTCCTAGTTTGGCGTTCCTGTAATATAAAACCTCGTCACCGTCTTTCGCCCTAGTTGATGATGGCTTATAACTCCACAGCTTGAGTAACTGTTGGATAACAATTCTCAAGAAAAAAATAGCCTGATTGCGAAGCTTACTGTACATTATGGTGAACGACGATGTTAATTGTTAGCAGTCTTAAGCCTCGTTCATTTTACCGATTTGAGTTTTCAATTTCAATTTTGTTACAGTTAAAAGCTCTAATGAAAAGTCACATCTGACTTTTTTACTACAGTTAAAAACTCTCACATAAAATCACATCTCAATTCAAATTGAAAACTCGAATCGACGAACTGAACGAGACCTTATTGTCTGCATGTTCAACAAAAAAGGTCATTGATTGAAAACCACCAACAGTTAGCTCAAAAGCAACATACATTTCGAGTAAAGCAAGAATATACTGTTGTATACACATATTAAAACTTGGTTAAAAATCAGTAGACTTTTAAAAAGATATAGCTTGTAACTTTACCCACACCATAGTCCCTATGTACCTAAAATCATTGAAAAAATAACCTTATGGAACAGTACCACAAAGTTAAAGCCGTCCCTCTTTCCTTGTATATTATTTTTTGAGGTTGAGATATAAACTCGAGACTTGATTGAATATAATATAATGCTTTGACGAACAAAGTTAGTTGTATTATAACTATTTTCTTATTTTACTTCTCAAGTGATCCTCCTCACTACCAATATATTCCACTGTTTGACAAAAACATCATCATGAAGATCTTATTTAAATTGCCGAAAACAAAGGGAGAAAATTAATTGATCTTAATTGCATTTTTGAAAATGGCAAAAAGGGTATTTGGTGAAGAAGTTTATTATTTTCCTAGTCATTTGGAAGGATCCTAAGAATGGTCACATCGTGGTTAATAAAGATGTTCACATTTTATCAACTTGCATCCACCTGATAATCTTTGTCTCCACCATTCTACCTCACTTTTTTTTTGTTTTTTGTTTTTTTTTTTGTTTCGTTTGTTTATTTGTTTTTTTTTTTTTTTTTTTTTTTGAATTTAAAAGTAGGGAGATTTGAACTCGACACGTCAACCTTGGAAATATCATGTGTGGAAGTACCGCTTGAGTATACTTGCAACCACTCTAGCTCTTACTTTTTATTCATTAATTATTCAAAACTTTTTGCATATAACATGCATACTTAGTGCATATATCTATCTATAAATATAAAAGTTCATACACACGTGATGAGAAAGAGAGATCTTTGCATTCCAGAAAATAACTTGGAGAATTACATCAATTTTACCTTGTGCAAAGCAGGTTAGAAGAAATGTACAAGGCCTTCAGGCCAAGAAAAAGTTAAAAAAATTCTTTCTTTTTCCCTTTTCTTGTCCTTTGTCCCCCTCTTTCTACTCTTACTGATCCTAATAATACAAGGAAGTTACAAAAGCCGAACATAAGAAATTACATGATAAGCCGATTAATACACCCTCGAAACAGTTTTGAGAAGGGTGGAAAATAATACAATATCCTATATTATATAATATTATATAATACACAATTAATTTACAGCATGGCCTGCCCCCTCAATGTCTGGAGTTTCCAATCCACCAATTTTTGCAGGAAAGTCATAACCTGTAAGAAAGAATCAAGTAAAAAAATCAATAATTGTTCAAAGAAAGAACAAGAAAAATTAAACACCAATAAAGAAGAATAAAGAATTTAGTACGAAAAAGGGCTTCTTTATGGTCACTTTACCTCAGTTGGTTCCTGTAAGGAATAAGAGGCACTTGTGTCCTTTGGACATTTTGAAACAAGAATGCCAAAACCTTGTCCTCTTGCTTTCAATATCTAATAACACAGTAAAAAGAAAGGGGGGGGGGAAAAAAAAAAACCTTCAATAAGACTTGAGAGAATAACTAATTTTCTTAATAAAAAAAAAAAAAACCTTCAATAAGACTTGAGAGAATAACTAATTTTCTTAATTATTGTAAAATCCAAAAAAATAAAAATAAAGAAAGTAAAAAAAAAAAAAAATGATTCCTTATAATGAAACATTGGATACCTTGAATGCATCTTCATCTGTTCGATCATCACCAATGTAAACAGAAAAAACATCTCTGCGGTTGGCGTATCCTATTAAAAAAGAAATAGAATAATAGTTAGAGATGATAAAATATAATTGTAATTTGTAAGTACTATTTTTTTTTTTTTTTTGTCTTTTATGATTACTTTAAAAGGAAAAAATAAAATAATCAGAGGAGGGGGGTCTGACAGGCTTCTTTTTTAAGCAATATTTAGGATTTACATATTATTCCCGGAAACCAAAAAAAGGTCTCTCATTATGACTTTGTGGAGTGGATCATGTGTGCCCAATAATGATTAAAGTAAAAAAATTAAAAAAACATTAATAATAAAAATATTGATTAAACCAAACTCACCAAGTGCTTTTAACAAAAACTCAAGAGCCTTGCCTTTGTCCCATTTGATTGTGGGACGGATCTCTAACACCTGTATTACAAGTACAATCGAAAGTGAGACATCTCTCACTTATACCCATATAATAAATTCACTAAAAAAAGAAAAAGAAAATAAGAGAACTAATAATAAAAGATTTAAAATAAAAGCATATATAACTGGGAGATTGACTAGGGCGAATAGTTAGGTGCCACGTCATACCTTCCTTCCTTGCGTAAGTTTCAGCTTTGGGTACTCTTTCAGCACTGATTTTACTTGCTGGGCCACAAGATCCCAGTTCTGTGGATTTCATAGCATGGATATTATTGGATGAGACTAGTTATTCTACGTGTTACAAAAATAATAATAATAATATTAATAAGATACATATACTTGAACAAATATATATATATATATAGGTCTCGTTCATTTCACCGATTTAAGTTTAAAATTTGAGTTTTGTTACAGTAAAATGTTATCAGAAATAATCACATCTAACTTTTTTGTTACAGTAAAAAGCTCTCACATAAAATCACATCTTAACTCAAATTACAAACTCAAATTAACGAAGTGAACGGACCCATAAGCTCGTAAACAGTGAAACTGAAAGATAATAATATTAGAACTTATTAAATTACCTTTTCATCAACGCACCGATAGTGCACAGAAAGACAAAACTTGTTATGTTCCACCATAGCTCCTCGAGTAGACTTGGTCTCGTAGACTAGGGTTTTATAAACCTGAAAATTCAACCCCAAAAAAAGGTTATTTTTCTTTGTTTTTTTTTAATGCTCACAAATCTGAATCGATGTAATATTATCAAACTGATCAAACAAAGGTGATACGACGAACCTCGTCGATCATAGGAAGAAATTTGGCGGCTGGTTGGAACAAAATTCCTTTTGCATCACCCTTGAGAACGAGAAGAGAAAGAGAAAGGGAGAAGACATTAATACCATGTGAAAAGTATTTACCAAATAGAAAGGGTGAAAATTGAGAAGTAAAACTAAAGTAGAGTTAAGAGTGAGGAAATTATAGAGTGCCAATATTATATATTATTATTTAATATTGTCGTATATAACTCACTTTTATGTATTTTGACCCTTTCTCCGGTCCTTTAATGTCCATGCCGTGGCTTCCAGCGTAGTACAACTCCGCCAATTGTACAAAATTATACACCTGCAGAGCAATAGTAGTACCATTCCAAAAAGTTAATTTCAAAAACAATAATAACAACAAAAAAAGAATCATAAAAAGCTTATTGAAAAGTTACTTATAGATGGACTAAGAGATTTTTATTAATTATTAGGACTAAATCAAATGTACCTTATCCCTGCACCTCCCACTCACAATAGCAGTGGGGAAACACTGAGCGAGACTTTTCACTGTGCTTCTCATCTGTTGACAATAAACAAAACAAGTAACAAAAAATGAAAAAACTTTTGGCACCAAAGTGTATAGCATAAAATAACAGAGCCAAATAAAAAGACAAAAAAACTGAGTGAGAGTCTTCTTAGTATAGGAACAGGATGGCTCTGCTGTTGCGTGCCAATCTAATTAGGATGTTCTAATTTTTTGACACGACTATATTTCTCTTCGATAAAAAGAGAGAGAAAAAAAAAAAAAACAACGCCGAAACCAACCGCGTCGGACATGAAAGCGCGTTCGGGGTTCTTGACGATCGGCGAAAGCGTGCCGTCGTAGTCGAGAAACATGACTATTTTCTTCCCCTTTGAAGCTTCCACAATCTTGTCGAACATCGAAAGAGCCGATGGGTGCTGTAGCTGTTTCATCAACACAAGCACACAGCCAAATTAAAAACAAAAATAATCAGATTCATACATAGAGAGTTCAAAACTAGTTTTGAAAAGAATAGTAATGTTTGTTATATATGTATACTCACAGCCCAAGATTTTTCCTCCTCAGTGAGAGAAGGAGAGATGGAAATACGGGGCGGAGAAGAAGCTCTCATGGAGTCGACCCACGAGCTGATTTTCGCTCCGCCGTTGATCACGTTAAGTTTCTTCTTTGAAGCCGCCATTTTCATGGCGGCATGCTGTTCTTTCCGGATTAGTACCACCTTTTGGGTTGTCATCTTTGCCTTTTGATCTTCTTCCTTTAAGAATCTCTGCTCAAGAGAAATTAAACAAGAAAGAAAACAATATTATTATCACATGGATATATATATTTTTTTCTCTTCTCTGGAAGCAAAAGCAAATATGGTATTTTTGAACAAAAGATATTACAAAGCGCAATACCTTAGAGAAGTTTAGGAATCTGCAGCTTTTACAAGTGATGTGGTGAAGAAGAAGAAGAAGAAGAAGAAGAAAAGGAGGGAAGATACAGAGTATTTGGGATTGTACAATAATAATATTATGGAGTTTTAATGGAAAGCCAGAAGAAGCAAAATCAGAGAGAGAAGGAAGGAAGAAAGGGAGAGAGAAAATTGTCTGCGTATGGTATGGGTGTGAGAGAGACCGAGGCCTAAATGGTCCAATTTATAGTTGCAACCGGTCGCTAACGGACAGAGATTGATGGGCCCCACATCAAAACTCCCCGAACTGGGACCCATTCAGCTTGGTGGGCCCCATCTTTTCCTAAATCCCAAAGATGGAAAGATGGGGCCCGCTAGAAAAAGGACGGTCCCCACCACTAGCACTGCCACTGCCACTACCGTGCGACGGAACGCCGTAACTCCGCAGCCGCCGTGTGGTCGACAGCCGTCACCGTAATAGTTTCCTCCACGTGGCCGACATTCTTTGGTTGAATGATTCCACCATTTGTGGGCTTCTCCCACGTATATTGTCACTGTCACGGTCTTGTGTAATTGTGTTATTCTCGGCAGTTTCTCTGAGCTGTTTTTTTTTTTTTTTTTTTTTTTTTTCTTCGGGGTTCTTGACGATCGGCGAAAGCGTGCCGTCGTAGTCGAGAAACATGACTATTTTCTTCCCCTTTGAAGCTTCCACAATCTTGTCGAACATCGAAAGAGCCGATGGGTGCTGTAGCTGTTTCATCAACACAAGCACGCAGCCAAATTAAAAACAAAAATAATCAGATTCATACATAGAGAGTTCAAAACTAGTTTTGAAAAGAATAGTAATGTTTGTTATATATATTTACTCACAGCCCAAGATTTTTCCTCCTCAGTGAGAGAAGGAGAGATGGAAATACGGGGCGGAGAAGAAGCTCTCATGGAGTCGACCCACGAGCTGATTTTCGCTCCGCCGTTGATCACGTTAAGTTTCTTCTTTGAAGCCGCCATTTTCATGGCGGCTTGCTGTTCTTCCGGTATTAGTACCACATTTTGGTTCGTCATCTTTGCCTTTTGATCTTCTTCCTTTAAGAATCTCTGCTCAAGAGAAATTAAACAAGAAAGAAAACAATATTATTATCACATGGATATATATATTTTTTTCTGAAGCAAAAGCAAATATGGTATTTTTGAACAAAAGATATTACAAAGCGCAATACCTTAGAGAAGTTTAGGAATCTGCAGCTTTTACAAGTGATGTGGTGAAGAAGAAGAAGAAGAAGAAGAAGAAAAGGAGGGAAGATACAGAGTATTTGGGATTGTACAATAATAATATTATGGAGTTTTAATGGAAAGCCAGAAGAAGCAAAATCAGAGAGAGAAGGAAGGAAGAAAGGGAGAGAGAAAATTGTCTGCGTATGGTATGGGTGTGAGAGAGACCGAGGCCTAAATGGTCCAATTTATAGTTGCAACCGGTCGCTAACGGACAGAGATTGATGGGCCCCACATCAAAACTCCCCGAACTGGGACCCATTCAGCTTGGTGGGCCCCATCTTTTCCTAAATCCCAAAGATGGAAAGATGGGGCCCGCTAGAAAAAGGACGGTCCCCACCACTAGCACTGCCACTGCCACTACCGTGCGACGGAACGCCGTAACTCCGCAGCCGCCGTGTGGTCGACAGCCGTCACCGTAATAGTTTCCTCCACGTGGCCGACATTCTTTGGTTGAATGATTCCACCATTTGTGGGCTTCTCCCACGTATATTGTCACTGTCACGGTCTTGTGTAATTGTGTTATTCTCGGCAGTTTCTCTGAGCTGTTTTTTTTTTTTTTTTTTTTTTTTTCTGTTTTGTTTTTTCAATTATAAAACTGAACCCAATTGGGGTTTAGTTTTAATTAACCTTAAATGGAGGAGAAACCTTGGCCTTTAAAAACCAGATTTGGTGGGAGAGACTTTCTAATTTTAGCAAAGAGAAATGGACCCCTGCCTGGATTGAGTCTCTCTTATAACGCCCCTTGAAACGTGCTGTGTTTTTGAGTGAAAACCAGCAGCTTCAATCTACCAGGTTAAGCAGCTAACCAAACCAACAGCTAAAGTTCTGCATCTTTTTTTTCTTTTCTTAATTGAAGAAAAAATGTTGAAGACAATTCGAACGCGTTTGAAACTCGTTCTAAAATAATTTTATTTTTTTGCATGAAAATGAAAACGTAAACGTTTTCAATCTCAAACAGAAATCTTTTTTGAAAATACGTTTAGCAGTTTTATCAAGTGATTATTTTCAGTGTAAAATAACTTATTAATATCTCTATTTCTCTCTATTTGGTCGAGAGAAGAGAAAACGAAAACAAAAAATGAAAATGCCATTTTGAAAATGTTTTTATTTTTTCTCAAAAAACGTAAAAAATAAAAACGGGATCAATTTCAAAACACGTTATTCGTTTCTTTTTTTTATTTTTTATTAAACAATCTGAAGCAGAACGCACAACCCTATTAAGTGGCCCATAAGTCGATCTTCCTGTGAGTTTTTCTTTTTTGAGAAGATCTTCCTGTAATTTTTGTGTATTCTAATTATGTATTTAAAAAAAAAAAAGAAATTCGATAGTAATTAATGTGGACTCCTATGTTAGCATGAAGTGAGGGTCCACTTGTGGTATTTAAGTGCCCATAAATTCCATTCAAATCAACACTTTTCTGGGCAGTTTATTTCCTTTCACTCTAGCATCACTTTAACTATGTAATTATGTAACTTTGAGATTGTCTTTTTATTATTTTTTACCGTCAATATATGACTCCTTATAATATGAAGGTACTTTGTAAATCTTTATTAAATACTATCATTAGTGAAGGCTCAACCTATAATATAGAGGTGGGGAAAACCTTTATAGTGTCATTCTATTTTATTTTGCTGATTGAATTAAAATCTGTCGTATTTAATCACCTTTTTTTAATTTGAAAGTAATTGTATTCCAAATTTATGAAGTAATCTCATAATGCACAGAAACTTTACTCCTATTGACCACATACCATAAATGATCATTTCCCTAATTAGAGAGATAGAGCAAAATCAAACAATTGCAATTAAACTATTATTATTGTTTGCCTACATCCTAACAGTTTAAGCTTTTATGATAGATTGATAAACTAATATAGTATCAGAGCAGGAGGTTCTGAGTTTAAACCCTCGTAATTACACTCTTTATCCCCATTTAAAATTATTATAATGTGTTGGGTCTTTAATATATCTCGGACTTAAATATTCACGTGTTGGGCTTTTTAATTAATTTACCCACACGAATGTCCATTGTCCAGCCCACACGTGAGAGGGACTGTTAAAGTATTAAACTATTGTCAGTCCACTTCCTAACAACTTAAACTTTTAAGATGAATTGATAAACTAACACAATGTCTTCAAAATTTATTGTTAAACAAAATAGCTGTTACGTACGCTATTGTAGAACAGTGACTTGCCCTAAAGCAAATTACTTCAGTCATATTATTTATATTTATACTTCACTTCAGGAAAAAGAAAAACAAAACAAAACAAAAATTTATTAGAAACTAAAAAATAAAGTAGATATATACTTCGTTACATATTGGAGACGGGCAGGACCAAGAAAGTAATATTTTATTTTTCTTTGCCTTACTTGACCAAAACCAAGACCAAGAATCACTTGTTGGTTGGTCCCTACGGATTAAAAGAACATGGAGAAAGAGGGAAGTTAGGCATGAGTCAGAACCTACAATCAGACATACATATATATATGTATATATATATATGTGTGTGTGTATATATATATATATATATTGCTAGTTATATATTGGCTAAGAAAAAACATGCAAATCGTCTTTTACCTTACATGGTTCCCTGAATATATATCTGACCTTGGAACTAGAGATTGTTAATTTTATATTTTATTGTCGCAGTAATTCTTTCCATGCACAATAGGCAATAAATAACGTCCTTTTCAGAGAGAAAGAGAATCTGCATAATAATGGAGCGAAGCCCATGAAATTTTGAAAATTAAAAAAATAATAATAATAAAACCAGCCAACCAATTAACTTATGACTTGAGTGCCAAGAATGTGAATAAAATAGATTCTCGTAAAAGGAGATAGGTGACCTAATCACCATAAACGTCATAAAAATGATACATATATATGTGCGTATTTGTGATTCGTGAATGTTTGATTCATGAATTCAGAATCATGATTCAAAATTATTCTCAATTTACGTGTATTTTTTATGAAAAAAAATACTATAGCGAACCACGAACCATAATTCGAATCATGTTACGAATCCACAAACCAAACATACTTATCTGTCAAAGAGAAAGATTCTTGGAGTAAACAAAGGTGACTTGGGGATTTGAATCTTATGAGTTTCATTAATTATGTGTTTATATCTATTATTTTTATATATATGCATGAAAGTAAGAGATTCTATATTTAGAGAGAGACATGACAATTATATACAAGGTTCAGAATTTCCCACATGTGCAGGTAAGTACATATATATATATATATTGTTTTATTGAGTTTATATAATTTGGTGGGTATCCCATGTACCTAATAATATTATATAGCTGTTCACATTATGTTTCCATTGGACTGTAGATCTTTCCTCTGGTACTTATACTTTACTAGTCAAAACTGGAGGCAGTTCTGGACTTGAAGATGCTCTACAACCAGTGGTTTCAAGTTTTAAGGGGAAAAAGAAAAAGAAAAAGTGAAGTGCAAGTATAAAGAAACCTTTTGTTAATCAAAAAGTGATTCCGTGTTCTTCGCCTAAATCTACGCTTTTTAATTTATTATTTGTTTTGATCATCGTATATTATTGTCTCTACATTTAGCCAAATATTTCTTAATTAATCCTTTTGCTTCTGTGGCAACCATATGTAAGCAACATTAGTTGTTTTTAGATATAATAGGATCCACTCCACCTATTCTTTAATTGATATAATCAAAAATAAGGTTGGAATAGGGACTCAGATTCAATCCTAATACTAAATTAGAGATGTGTGCATTATTAAAAAAAAATAATCGTTTTTAGTTCAAAAAGAAGTTTGGATTGTTGTTTTGAGATTCCCATTTGGAGTGCTTAATAGAAACTCTAAACTAATTTAAATGGACCATAATAAAAGTATGAAAGGGATTCATTAGTTTTCTTTCAAAGAAAGGGAAAATGGCATGAAAAATAAATATAAACACAGTACACACAAATACATATAGCCAGGTGTTATTACAAAAAACACAACACTGATAGACCAGAAGTTTCTTCCATCGAGCACACATATGACTCTTTAACATATTCACTCTAATGGATGGAATTATCAGATCGACCGAGATTGAGTAACCTGCAAAAATAAATAAAAAAATAAAAAAAAATTGTAAAAAAAAAAAAAAAAGATCATGGACATAAAAGACAACCTCCAAAGTACTTTAGGTCAAGATGAAGACCAACACGGCAAAAATTCCTCACTCCAACCCTACATCAGATTCGACCTGTCAACCCTTTTCATCTACATGTGCAAGCCCACTTTGGAATGACGACGAACTTGTACATGAAGTTTTATAGACAGAGACCTGACGGTGCACCACACTTCCGCCCAGAAATGGCCCTTTATTTCTCTCACTCACTCTTTTTGTTTTTTAGAGCCAATGTAGCTTAAAGACTTTACATGAAAATTAAAGAGAATTAAGGGCTTGTTCTTTTGGAGTAAAACTCAAAAAAAATTTGAACTTAAGTTATAATTTTTTTTAAGTTCATGTTCGTTTGTAAAATTTGAGTTTTAACTCGAGTTTGAACTTGAGTTTGGGGCTAAAATCTGAGTTCAAGTTTCCCCATCAACTCAAGTTCTTAAACTAAAACTCAAGTTAATAAACAATATTTTTTTCTATTCTTAAAAACGTCATAACCTTTTCGTTTTAATTTCGATTGAGATAATTTTTTTTCTATACGTTAACAACGAAAAGACGAATAAAACCTCACCCATATACCCTATTAAAATTTTTCATCACCATTGAGTTTTTATTCAAATACTATCTAAATACAAATTCAAGTTTTGACCCACTCAAACACAAACTTAAATAGATTCTTAATTCAAATCATAATTCAAATGTGCACATTGAAACACAAACTCAAATTACAACTTCAACTCAAATTATAATTCAAATTCAACTCAAAATCTACACTCAAGTCACCATAACTCAAAAATGCAACCGAATAAACCCTAAGAAATTAAACCTTCACGAATTTATAACACAATAAAATGTACAAATAACCGATAGAATATATTCATTATTAGTGACGAGTTCGCTAAAACTTTCTATAAGCTTTAAAAATTAAGTTCTTTCTTTGTAGTGACGAGATAGACAATGCTCC